AGAAGAATTTTTGGGTTCTAAAGACGATTTTGACAAACCCTTAGTTGCTGCCATTATTATTGACCGAATCGGTGACCTTCGAGTCACCGGAACAACTCAAATCTTCCTTAAACAATCCCAAAATTTATAGCCCAACTGCTAAATGTATAGATTCGAGAATGAGACAGAAACTTACCTCAAACCGACAAGAAATCGATGGAACCTTGCTTGCTTTTGGCCATCGGGTTCCCTCCTAGGTTAACGATGGACTCTTCCAAGCTCTTAGGGTTTCTCTCTAGCGGCTATCACAATTAGAGGTATTAGGGTTAGGGAGGAGGAATTAGGTTAAATAAGGATTAGGGTTAGGTTTATATAAGAAAAAAAAAAAACCCTAATCTAAATACAAAGCCCAAGCCAAAACTCATCATCCAAATTGCAAAGTTAAAGCGATTTATGCATAACTAACCCCTCAAGATTAGTCAACTTCCTAAACTAACCCAAACTTCAATATATATATATATATATATATATATTTAAACATGCACTGATATATATATACACACACACACACATACATATCTGACGGGTATTATATTAACAGTGTCTGGATGTCTCAGATTCAAATTCAAGGAGAAATAAAATTCTCTTGTGGCCATGGAGGTTGAAATACGCTGACTCCAGGTGACGGGCAAAACCTATGGTCATCTTAAAATTAGTCGGCTCGTATAACAAGTTGGATATCCATGATAATATAAATAAAGAAAAACCTTGATTTTGATTGCTACATTTATTTATGAAATCTTAAAAAAATTGCTAAAAGAAAGAAAAAGTGGACATGAAGTTTTCCTTATATGATAGGTGCCATCAAATATTCCACGTCATGCCAAGTGGATATAAATAAATTAATCCACGTCATCGATGTTATCCATTGGAACAGTGGTCTCATAGTCATAGAATGCTCCTTTTATTTTTATTTTCCTTTTGTCTTTGTCACATGATATTCCTAATCCTAAATCATGATATTTGCCATTTTTTATTTTTTATTCAATTTTATGTTAAAATACATAATTTTAATATTTAATACCAAAAAGTAGATTACAAAATCCAATTATTACATAAAATAATTACCCAAAAATGTAAAATAAAATAAAAACTAACTACAAATAAAATAATTATAGTTAAAAAGGTTTATAAGTACAAAACACTAAAAAATCATATTTAATTATAATTAAGTCGTTTATATTCCATCATTATTGGTAACTATAGAGACACAAACTTTTAAGTTTCAATATGCTACTGTATCCTCTCGATTGTTCGACAACCATACCAGTGATTTTTTTTCCACAACAGTGATGTACTTAAGAATCGTAATTATTTCTTATTATGTTAAGACAATCGAGTGGTGAGTTGGTGACATTGAACTCCCTAATCTCTAAATAGATCCGAGACTGTCGTTTACAACTTTACTTAAGATAGGCGAAACTTGAGCATGTTTTGAAAATATGTTATTTAAGTAAATACTTTTGAAAATGTATTCTTAAATATTTCTTCTCAAAATTATATGCTTCAAAATAAGTATTGAATGATTATGTTTCTTTATATAATTTACCAAGTTTTTACATTATACTTAAGTTAACTAAAAAATATTTATGAAAGAATATATATATATATATATATATATATTATATTATTATAGGAAGAACTAAGGTTGATGATTTGGTTTTTCCTAAAAATTATTTTTTTAATTTTATCTTATATATATATATATA